TTGCACGGTTGATCGGATATGTTTTGTGGATTTATCGTTTAGTCACCGTCTGCATCAGTGCTAAGCGAGGCATCATGTGGGGTTAGGGTATTCGACCCCGATGCACCGTTACACTTTGGAGATAATGGACGATAGTAGTCGGACAACTAGATAACTTAGTCGCATGGTCATTCAGGGTTAGACCCATTGTAGTTTAAACGTATTTGGTCTAATCACAAGTGTTCGGTGTTGTTTCACTCATTGGAGTAGCTACTAGTGAGGTCTACTGGTAGTTTCGGATCATATGCAAAACTCTAAACGTGATTTCGTTAGGGCGCACGAGGAGGAGTAGAGTTTCCGGGTTTTCCTTGGGTGATTCCAGGTTGCACGGATTCTACTACATTACACGGGGTAGAGCTTGACATGGGGTCCTATCTTCGCTATCACAGACTATGGGACGTCTTGTGGTTAATGACGACAACATTCGGCTATCTATGTATTGATTGTGGGAGTCGTATGAAGGGTATATGGAAGTGACCGAATGACCGTTATATTATTATGGGTTTATCAGGTTCTTTCTTTAGCTGAGGGTTTTCCGATTATATTGATGATGGTCTAGTGAGCTTATTATTATACAGCCGAAGTTATTCCGATTGTTTACTTAGACAAATATAATGAGCCTATATGAGCCTGGAGGTTATTACGGCTGCTCACTTCGAGAAATATATATATATATACATATGTGTGTGTGCATGGTTTGTCGAGTTCGTCAGCATTGTTGCATTATTTCACTATTAACATGACATGACACTTATTTTGTGATTGACGAGACTTAGACTTCATTTTAAAAAGTATGACATGATACATTTTATGTTAGTTCTTAAAATGAATTTAATTCTATATTTTTTTAAAAAAATATTTTATTCAGGTATGTATGACACCCCCGGGACAGGGGACGTCTCGTGATATAGAAAGACAGATTGAGTGAGTGAACTTGTCTCTGATGTATTGTATGTAAATTTCTAACTAGAAAAACCTCATATTTAGGAGCGTAATTTTGAAAATATTCATAAATTAGATTGTGTTAAATAATAATGTATTTTTATAGTTAATTTTAACTTTAACACTGTATTGTGGGGTGCAAAGTAGGAAGTGACGACCTCATTATGCAGTGTGACGGTAATATTTCCAGTATGGGCTAACCGAGGGTGTTATTGTTTTGAATTAATTTTTAATAAAATATTAATTTAAATTTTGTTTAAATAATATTTGATTCAATATTTTATAAAAAAAAATAATATATATATAAATATTTTTTTATTAAAATCTACAAAATAAATAATGTTAATTTTTATTTAAAATCCTAAAAGAAATCTTAAATTGTTTGCAAGCTTGATTTGATAAGGAGTAGCATGGGTAAGATATACAAGTATTTATTTTTAGGGAAAAAAATAATTTTGGTCTCAATATAACCGAAATTTATCAATTTTGGTCCCAATATAAAAAACTCATCAATTTTAGTAATAATATAAAAAATTTCAATCAATTTTGGTCTCATTATAAACAATTTTAATCAATTTTGGTCCCACAGTTAAAAAACTAACGGAAATTGCTAACGTGGATATTACGGAGGTGACGTGGCAGCTGACTTGAAAAGGATACGACCATGTACAATTATACACGATCATGTTGTTACATGGCCATGTATATTTTATTGTATAATTATACATGACCTTGTTGTTACACAGACATATACAATTATACACGACCATTTACATTTCTATTTTAGTTTAAAATTTTATTTTTTTGTTATATTTTTATTTAAAAAAATTATTTTAAATTTAAAATAATTGATATAGTTAAAATGGACATAATCAATAGTAATTATAATATAATTAAAATTTATCAGTTTTAATACAAATATAAAAATTTATAATATATATTCTTTTGAAAGGTTTTGTCTAAAATTTTATTATTCATAAAAAAAAATTTCTCTTGCAAACATCCAATTACACAACTATTTTTTAATTTTTTATATTATAGTAGTATTAAAAATTAATTTTATTATTTCAATACATTAATTGAATGTTTGTAAGAGAAATTTTTTTGCTAAATAGTATAATTTTAGACAAAATCTTCCAAAAGAACATACTCGACAAATACTTATATTTGAACTCAAATTGATATATTTTAAATATATTATGATTATTATTGACTTTTTTTTTTCCATTTTAACTTTATCAACTATTTTAAATTCAAAAAAATATATTAAAAAATATAACAAAAAATTAAAATTTTAGACCGAAACAGAAAGGTACACGGCCATATAGAATTTACATGGCCGTGTAACAACATGGTCATGTATAATTATACACTGAAATATATATGGTCATGTAACAATATGACCGTGTAAAATTGTACATGACCGTGTAACAACATGACCATGTATAATTATGCACTGAAATATACATGGCCATGAAACAACATGACGTATAATTGTACATGATCGTATAACAACATGGTCATGTATAATTATACACTGAAATATACATGGCCATGTAACAATATGACCGTGTATAATTGTACACGGCCGTGTACTTTCCAGGTCAACTGCCACGTCACATCCGTCGTGTCCACGTCAGTAATTTCCGTTAGTTTTTTAACGGTGGGACCAAAATTGATTAAAATTGTTTATAATGGGACCAAAATTGATTGAAATTGTTTATATTTGGACTAAAATTGATGAGTTTTTTATATTGGGACCAAAATTGATTTTTTTTCTTTTTTTATTTATTTTGTTTAAATACGAGTATCTAAAAATAAATTTGAATACTTTTTTATTATTATTTAAAATATTTTTCGATTCTCGCTTGGATTTTTTTTTCAAAAAATAATTATAAATTTTAATTATATTTTAAATTTTATAATTTATAATTTTTAAAATTTTATCTAAAAATTATTTTAATTTTAATTTATAATTATTTATATTATACAATAATTAGTTTTACTGATATACATCTTTTAAATTACCATACCTATCATAATAATAATAATAATAATAATAATAATATAGAGAGAGAGAGCCAAGGTATCGACATCTTCATATGAATCATATAAAGCATTTCTTGTCTCTTACAAAGCCACTAAAAATGTCAACTAGAATAGTAAAATAAAATAAAATAAAATAAATGAATCGTGACGTGACACGACACGACACGACACGATACAATAGTAACTCTGAAAAAGACAAACAATAACCAAAAAAAACATTGAAGTATAGACACTATCATAATTTGCACTTAATAATATATAAATGTGGCCCTTATATTGCCCAATAAACACATCGATCACTTTCTTCTAACCAAAGCAAAGTGTCATCAAATTCATCACACAAATCTGAGCCGAACCCCCTTCTTTGTGTATTTGGTCGGATAATTATTGAATTTTGAATTTTAATTATTAATATAATATTTTGAATTTAAACTTTATTTTTTATATATTATAGAAAATATAAAATAAGTATTTAATTTTATATTTATTATAAAAAAAATAATTTAATGAATAAAAATATTCGGAGCAAAATAGAGCAACTATACATACCCTAAATATTCATTATATCAGGTGTTGATTTGTTGTGCATTGTCGCGTCTGATCGTAATCAATATACATCATAAAATTATTATAAAATAAGATTAATTTAGTAAATTTAAATTTTGTTTAACCTATTTTAGTATGAACTAATACTTTTTGCTTATTCTAGTAGTTATATATGCTAGTGTTTAAGTAATATTTTGCTAATATATTATTTTATTGTATTATATATTACGAGGAATTTGTACTGATGTAAGACTGTTTCTTTACTTTTACATAATAATTGTATTATGGAGAAAAAATATTTATCCGAACATATTTAATTACACAATAAACCCATTATAAAATTAGTATATTATTATATTTAAAATAACATATTTATATTTTAACAGATATATATATTTAGAAATCAAATACTTATATTATAATGAACATATTTTACCACACATCAACCATATTGCAGAATTAATATATTATTACATTTATAATAACATATTTGTATTTTAGTACATATTTATATTACAAAAAACATTTATGCTATAAAGAACACATTTAAACACACAATAAGCATATTGCAAAAATAACATATTGTTACATTTAAAATAACATATTTGTAGTTTAATATATATTTATATTTAGATAGGGAACGACTCATATTGTAATGAGCACATAAGCATACAACATGTATATTAAAAAATTAATATGTTATGTTTAAAAATCACATTTGTAATTTATCATATATTTATACGTAAATAGCAAACACTTATACTATAATGAACATATTTTATCACACAATAAATACTGTACAAAATTAACATATTATTATATTTAAATAGAAAATTTATAGCATAGTACATACATTATAAAAAAAAAAAAATGTTTATACTATGAAAATCACATTCTTATTTATTTGTTTGTTTAATTTTACTAATTTAATTTTTTACATATATAATTAAAATAATCATGCGTTGACGGAGAGAATAGAAGAAAAAAATAAAGAAAAAAAATAAAACTCATAGCGATAAAGGAATTTTTATTTTTTTATTATGAAAAAAATTATAAATTTACAATTTTATCCTTAATATTATATTCTTTCTATCATAAAAAAAAGTATGTTTATTTGTATGTCATAAAAAATGTTCATTTTATTTTTTAGTAAAAGAATATATTTCTTTTCGTTTCATATAAAGTGATAATTAAGTAATGTGATTTGAAAAAAATTTATATTTATTTATTTATTTATTTTAATTGATTCAAACTCTCGACGTTTTAGTTTACCTGTTATACATTGCCTAGTGTATCTTGTCCAGTGCGCACTTTCGGATAGCTGAATCAAATTTACATTACTTAAATACAAAATAAGAAATATACAATGGTAATATCGAAAAAAAAAAAAAAAAAAAAGATTTTTTAACACTCATCGGAAAAAAAAAAAAAAAAATTAGGAGAGGCTACTTGGGGGCTCCGGGAACCTTGGGTCAAGTTAACTATGGCAGGACCTCTGGTCCCGGGACTGATTGACTAGAAATGTGGGACCAGACCGATTGATGCAGTAACCGCCACACTGGCATGATTTTTGCAACTCAATACCTTCAACAAGTCATGACTCCAGAAGCTTCTCCGATTAGGTGGAGTTCTATCGCCGGAGAATATACTCCCCGGGTTCCGGAGATTCCGCCGGTTCTTCACGCCGCGGAAATCCAATTCCTGCTGGAATTTTAGCGGACTAAACATCAACTCAAACCATTTCGGCTTCGAATCCCTAGACGCCTCCGATTTCGCCGAGCTCTTCGATGACGATCTCGGATTCCGTCGCTCGAGGAAACGATTTCGCGGCGGCGTGGTGGCTACGGCGTCGGATTTCGATTGAAACGAGTTGTTATTATTATCATCGCATATTGCGTACCTTGCGGAAGCGCCCGGCGGAAGGTTGTGCTCGGAGAGCGATTTGAGGAACCGACGGCGGTGGGTAGCGTTGTGCGGCACGAGCTTGCCGCAGTAGAAGATGTCTTCGGCGTGAGACATCTCGGAGGTGAAATCGTTGAGGAATTCGAAGAAATCCGCAGGCTCGGAGGACGATCGCCGGTTGTTCTTCGAAATGGAGTCCTTCCGGTCGGAATCCACCTGGAAATCTCGAAGAGAAATCGATTCATCGTCTTCTTCTTCATCAGGTATGAGCTTGATTTTGTGGTTCTTCTTCAAATTGGTAATTTCATAATCCATTTTAAGAAATTTGTGAATGTCGATTAAGTCTATATGCATGTATGTATATATATATATATATATACATACATACATACGCATACATATATGAATGAATGTGTGTTCATTTTGCATAAATTTCATCAAGTGTGAAGGAGAAGGAAGAAATAATCATATATATGTAAGAGATAGCCACAATCAATTGCTAAGGTCGAATTGAATGCTCAAATATTTTAGATGGTTTTCAATTTTAAAAATATTCAAATAAAAATAAAGTTGTTGTTACTGTATTAATAGATTAGTCAACAGAGTGTGCCAACAGTATGATATAAAAACTAATGCTCCCTCCGTCCCGCTATCCGTTTGTTTTTTTTGCAAGTAGTTTAAAAAATATTAGTATTATACTGAGATGTAGTAGGAATAAAGTAAAAATAACTAAAATAACCTTATTAATATTGTGTAATATAAAAACAATGACATTTGAGTAATATATTGTAAGTTGTAAGGGTATTTGTAATGTTAGATATATATTTCAGTTATTAAAAAAATGAATAACTTTGTTATGGGACAAACTAAAATAAAAAAAAAAATGGATAATTTTTTATGCGACGGATCGGGAGTATTACATTATAATAATTTACATAATACATATTATAATTAATTTCACCACATAATGTATATTAAGGCAACACACAAATTAACGGACAATATATAATAACAATTTATACAATATGTGTTGTCTAGTATATTTTTATATGATGAATGGACTAATCAGCACGGTGGGTGTTGATTATCTATATTTAGTACTTTAACGATTCCCTAAAAACAAATATATAATATATTAATGTGATATTTTAAATAAAAAATATATAACGGATAATGTTTATTTAAACATACCATAAATTAACATAGTAATTATTATTATTTTCTTTTTTTTGTGTGTGTGTGTTCAATTTATATGAACGAGTAAGACGTGATGTTTATACATAATAAAGAGATTGAATCAATGGATGAATATAATGTAAAATTTAAAATAAAATAAAAATTGATTAAGTTAAAGTTGATAGTAGCAAACACATGAAAGTGTTGGCGTAAAGGTAAACATCATAGATGCAAAATAGTCGAAATAGAGACATGCCTTGATTTTTACTAAAAGTGAAACCAAATTCTTTCTTTATATAGTTGCATCACAAAACCATATAATTCTTGTGGCATGATAGCTTTCCATGCAATTTTGAAACTTAATTCAACAAATGAGGTTTCTTAATAAAAGCTAAAATTTAGAGAATATCTTTCAATAAAAATAATAATAGCTTAGTGTTTGGTTTTCGATTCTATTTTATGAGAATTAAAATATTAAGAAATGTGTAAGTGGCATCAATGACGAACCAGCTTTGAATATTAGGGGGCAAGTAACTATCAAAAATTTTAAAATTTAATTAAATAATAAAATAATTTTACCTTCGACAAAAGTTAATGTCATTAGCTAGAACTATTAGTAGGATAATTTATGTCTTTGTTGCCCCATACTCTAAAATCGTCTCATAATAGCATAATTTTCAACTTTTACAAAATCTTCTTTCTCAATGTAAGTATGGCAAACAATTTGTCAAAAATTCATCTTTTATGTTGTTGTGCTAAATCATTTTTAATAAATTTTATCGTGGAGAATAATCTTTCAATTATAGTTTTTGTATTGGGTAAAATCAATGCAAACCCTATAAATCGATACACTAACCTATAAATTGTGTGTCATTTCATAGCCACTATTTTTTTTTTTTTTTTTGTTAAATCTCTAATATTTTCCAATCTCGAAAAAAGTGAAAACGATTTAGCAAATGTAATGAACATCCTATGTTGTTCTTCCAACACATTTTTTCCTTGAATTGAAATCATACGGATATAATTCAGTAAGATGAAATAATTGTTTTTTTTTTTATATATATATAAAAATTTGAAAATAAGTCTATGTTTAAGCATGCTATGCACACAAGCAACTCCGAACTTAACTCTGTAAAGCGATTATCCATCTCTTAAATAAGACGGTCAGCAACCTATTATTATAAAAATTAAATCAATGATTCATAGGAAAATAAACAAATACATATATATTAATATTAAACAAAAAAGAAAAAATATGCCTCCAAAAAAATATCAACATAGAAATAGTGATGATAGATCTTTTGATTACCATCAACTATCTTTGTTGAGCATCTTTCATATTCGGCACATCAATATTATGTTTCAAACAGAATGTAGTAACTTTTTCAAATAACTGCTTCCAACCATAATTATTTCTATAATTATTCAAGTCATTCTTTCAACAAGAACTAAAATATTCTCTATATTTTGATTCTTTTCTTGAAAATTATTGGATAACATATTTATTTTTTTACAACAATTGCATCATTAAATAAACAATGAATACAAAATCAAATATTACCATTTTTTCAACTAAATTCAAAGTCGGTTACTTTTAAGATCAACTGCATCATTGAATATAACTTCAAGCATCCAATCACCGTATCCCACATATCTAAAACTTTTGAAATTATTTTCAAATGAGAACACCAACGAGTATCACCAGGTTGAACTAGACTTTTTTCTTTCCGGTGCTAATCTCACCACATTTTATATCCTCAACAAGATTTTTATAGTGTCTTTGTTAAAGATCATCTTTTCTTTTACATCATGCACTGACTACATTCACAATCATCACAAGATAATCGAAAAAACTACCAATTATTCAATTATTCTTTAAAGATGTTACAATCACTAATTGAAGTCGGTGAGCAAAAAAAATTAAACATAGTGTGCTTGTTTATTTTCATCCAATTTTTTTTACTTTAAACCATTAATGCTTATATTAGAGGTTCCATCATAATCTTGACCTCGAACCTTAGACAACGAGAGTGCATGCTTTGCAAAAAAATCATCAATTGTATTTTTCAATTATTGCGCAGAAGTATCAATTACATGCATTATTCCACGAAATCTCTCTATCACCTCCTCACGATCACTAACAAATCTAAAAACTATAGACAATTGCTCTTTTATTGAACTATCTCGAACTTCATCAATTAAAAGCGAAAAACATTTTCTACCAATCTCATTAACAATAGTTTGTTTTACCTCTGTTGCACAAGCATTAGTAACTTCCTTTTGAATTTTGGGAGAGGTTAATTGACTATTTTTCGGAGCATTTGAGTTCATCAATACTTTTATTTGTGGATGCCGATGACATTCCTATTTCAAAAGTTCAATAAAATTACCTATAAATAAAGTAGATATTATAAATTTATAATGTAATAAATAATCTTAATAATATAAGAAATAACATAATTATAATTACTTGAATGTAATAAACTAGTTGATTCATCGGATCCTCGAAAAGCCAAACCTCAATCTAAAAGAAACCGGACCATATCCACTATCGTTGTTAATCACTTTGATGTGAGAACATATAATCAATATTTTGCCCTTGATTTTTAAAACCCAAACATATAAGACTTTTGCATAATAATGTATGTTACATTGACCTCCTTTATGTTCACGGAATTTCTCTTTAATTTTTTTTCTAATTCTTAAAAACCAATTTTTGTAAATACATTGTCTCCAAATTTTTCACCCTTTCTAAACAAGTAACACACTTGACAAAATGTCATATATTTAGTAATACTATATTCCAACCAATGAAATTTTTCGAAGTTTGAACCATGCTTTTGAAATGATCTCATCAATCCACCAAATTAGTTTGTGGATAAATAAATTCATGTGGTTGGCAAGAGCCTTTTGTCAAATAATGCATCTATATTCTTCTCTCATATTAACCGAATAATTCTCAAACGGTTTTCGAAATCCAGGATCTCCTATAATAACATCATCGGACAATTCAATTTTTCTTAGTTTAATTTTATCTTCATCAATACCAACCACATTATCAATTGGAGCACTTATAGTTTTAAATTGAGAAGATACAATCTTCAATTTTTTAGAAATTGGTGCAAAAAATTATTTCAATTTTTTGTTCAAATAACCAATCATTAAAAATATAATAATTACAAATATTAAAAAAAATAGAAATACAGTAAACAAATAAATAAATAAATGCAACAATGGAAAAAAATTGGTATACTTTCAATAAATAAAAGAATTTGATCTACTTCTTAAACAAAGAGCAAATTTCAGTTCAGAAATCACCCATAAATTATAATATTTAGTTAAATTTTGAAACAAAATCTGCACTTCTAATTGCATATTTTGCCAAATAATATAAAATTGCAAGAATCTGACCTTGAGTTTTTTTTTTTCATCCAAATATCAAATTGTCTTCTCCGATTTCTCTTAGTGCAACAACAAATAGATGAAGAAGAAAAAGAAAAAAATATCGAGCTAAAATAGAAAAAGAAGAATGTGAAAATTGATTTTTTGTTTTAATTTTATTTTTTATAATAATTTTAAAAGTAAAATTTATTATATATTATTATTATAGAAGCGGTCAAATGGAATAATAGGTGACCCATTCGATGGATTTGGGAGGGGAGCATAAAATTTATTTAACAAATTGGGTTTGGTTCAACTGCCCTCAAGCTTCTACATGCATCCTCACTGAGTCACATTATTATTATTATTTGTCATTTTGTTTAAGATAATAGGGCGTATTGATAACATAACATATGTATGCACTACGAAAGAAAATTATTTTAATAGTAAATAAAAAATAGTTATAAATAAATTTAAAGAGAATTAAAGTAAATCACATCTAACAACCTTGAAGAAACAAAACTGAATAAAAGAATAGCTAGTTTTTTTCAAAAATAAGATAATAAATCAAGAAAACCTACAAGTTAGTCGATTTTTAACAATCTCCCTTAAACTGAATACTAATGTTGCTCAGTTTACACATGAAGCTGAAAACACACCCAATAGATTTAAAACCTTTTCAAATAAAGGTAACTTCTTGGTCACGATATCTGTAATTTGCTCTTAAATATGGCAATAGATCAACTTTATGATTTTATCCTCGGTGAATACGTGAAAAATAAAATCTACCATGTGTTGCAGATTTGCCTAAAATTACAATATTAATCGAATTTCAC